CAATCTCTATAACTTAAAAATATTTCGTTCCCAAAATCAAGCCGTACTTGGAGATAAGAACAAATATGGATACTTGGAACGAACCTCCTGTTCTATTTCCTAAGTAGTATCCTCCACACCGTGATGACGTTATAAAACCTTCACTAACGGAATCGTCTTGTCCCTCAACACTTTGTCCCGTCTGTCAAGAATTTGGACCAGTCTCTTCTCATAGGTCACGTCCTCATCGACCTCGATATCAACCTAACTCAAAACATGTGACGGATCTGGCTTGTACTTTCGAAGCATAGATACATGAAAGATATTATGGACTCTATCCATATGTGGCGGTAATGCCAACCGGTAAATGACCTTCCCAACACACTCTAATATCTCAAACGGGCCAATGAACTATCGCAATAACTTGTCACTCTTCCCGAACCTCATCAATCCCTTCTATGGCGAGACCTTAAGAAAAACTTAGTCCCCCACCTCAAAAGATAACGGTTGTTTCCTCTTGTTTGCATAACTCTTCTGTTAGCTCTGTGCCGTGAAGAACCTCTGTTTAATAAGCTTGACCTTCTTCGTAGTCTCATGCTCAATGTCCAACACTAATATAGTCGTCTCGCTCACCTCAGTCTAATAAACTAGTAACCTACAAGGTCTACCATACTGTAACGACCCTAACCAGGTCCAACCCCGACCCAGGGAAAACTAAGGGCAAAATGTTAATTATTTACCTTAATATATGCTAAACTAGTCATTTATAGTCCAACTTTGGACTCCCTTAAGTCACACAGCACACATTGGGGATAAAAGAGAAACTGGGATCATATTTTGGGGTTCTATCACATTTACATCACAACGTCAATCTTATCAACAGCATTTATATAACATATCATAAATGTACATGTAAATACAATGCAATGCACAACCATCATCGAACTTGGTTTCCACCGACCTTAACTCACACCAAAAACCGCTAACTGACTTTACAGAGGCCAAATTGATTAACTATCCTTGGTTCCAAATCTGACAACCATTTGGGGTTTAGTAATAAACGTTTCACATCCTAAACCGCCACGCGCTCTCTCTAGGTCAAATTAGCACCAGACTCGTGAAATTCGATTTATTTTATAAAAATTCCATTTCAAACCCTTTTTCATAGCCCTTTTTCCCGCCATGTCATGCATATTCATCAATTGCATCAATTAAGCCACACTTTCATCTATATAGCAATAATGGCATAAACATGGCATCTTTTAGAAATTTAATACAACAATGGAATTTTTAATAATACAACTACAAGTATGGCATTCCTATTTAATTCAATCACAAGCATGCTCCTCATAGAAGTAATATCATCACAACTCATTCTAACATTCACCATTTAAGTAATTTTACATCAAATTAACGTTATACACATCTTTAGCATGAATTTAAACATATCATTTCATCATACAATAGCGTGCTTTCATCAATATCAACACTGAGTCATTGTAATTCACATTTTCACATCCAAGAATGAATTTTAAAGAAATCAGAGTAAGGATGTTCAACGAAAGGCAAAGTTTGAGGCATTAGAAATCCCTACCTCAATTGTGTGTTAGCCAAACATGCCCTTAACCAAGCCCTAATTTCAAAATCCTCCTAAGCCCATGCAATAGTGATACCAAATGAAAGCCCTTGCCAAGTGGAGCAAAACACTTTCCTTGCTCTTCATCAAAATCCTACTTTAACCTTCTCAAATTAATCAAAGCTTGAAATACATAAGACATATATGTGTATAGATATAGAGAGAGAAGGAAAAAGGAGATGCCTTAAATGGCGAAAAGGAAGGGGGGATGGGCTTTATCTTGCAATTAGTTATGTCGCTCTCCTTGAGCCATGTGTCACTTTGTGAGTGAATCCCCCTTTTGGTTAACTTACTATCTTGCCCTCACTTAACATTGCAGTGTCATCCTTGTCCCATATATATCTTCCCTATATATATATATATATGAAATGCCAACAACGCCCCTCACTTGAAATGAAAAAATCAGGAGAAGTTTTCGAGCCGGGAGTCGCCCTGACTTCGAAAAATCCTAAAAATGACCCCGTTAATTCTAATTGACTTAAAATAATTAAAATACACTTTTAAAACCCTTGGCTCAAAAAAATGACCTAAACTGCCCCCAAGACCCGCGTGGCACCCAAAATAAGGCACGAAAAATAAATATTCAAAAAAATTCAAAAAAATCTGGAACATTATAATCTACCATCTTTAAAGAGATTTCATTCTTAAAATCTACCTTTCTTAAGAAGAAGGCCCACAAACTTTCACCTTCTCGAATGATGCCTCACAAAACCCGTAAGACTACTAGTTCACAAATCTTATTGCCTTTGACACCGGATGCCACTAGGCAATCACACACAATTGCCACTGGGAACATAATACTCACCACCCTACGTGGGTACTCATCACTCAACATCCTACCAGGTAAACCATTGGACTCTATACTTGGCTTAAAACCAACATCGGTATGCTCTACACGTTTGCACAAGGCTCCGAAGCTCACAAAGAAACGGTCACTAAACCACTAGATTACAACAACTTCCTACCTCAGCTCATCCGTTAAAGGATACATGATACTCGAGACAAAGGAATCCTGACTATTACCTATCAAGTCCCAAATCCAGGTTGACACATTCCCGACAACCATACTCATGCTACCTAATATGTATGTATCTACACCATCACACACCCGTATAAGCGATTACTAGTTGCAACCTCTACTACCATACATTTAACACCTCCTGAGATAACTAAGCAGAAAATCTTTCAACGACTACATAGGCACAAGTCACTTGAATCATAAGGAGGCGTACTATCAAGTACTCAGGATACAAATCCCCAAAACATAATTCAATGATCAAATGATCGAACCATTAGACTTCATTGTACATGTAAACCTGCCTATCATCCGAGACAAACTACTTGCATCCATAAAACACTATTGTCTCCAAATAAAAATCTCTTTCAGACCAAATCCACATTGTCACACTTATATAATTCACCACACCACGCTCTCACTATCATTAATCAGTCAAAATAATCATTGACCTTTGACCTATCATCGTGTTAAAGAGGGACTGATTTAGGAGAAATGATTGGCCAGACCATTCTCGTCATCAATCCGATCTCATCACCAACGTCGTTCTCGTCCTCAGGTCCAAACTTCAAACATAGTATCACACACATTCCATAAGACAACCATAAAACTCATTCATCATCCATTCGCCGTTCTATAAGACCTCGACAGCTATACAGTCGTACGCACTGCTCTAAGAATCCCAACATTACCTTAATCATACCACTTGTAACAAGCTAAAAGCATGGCAATACTGAATGCCACAACTAATGACCAAGCTTAAAGCTTTTCGGTCCATCCCTAACAACCCATAATAGAGAAAAACTCCATGATATCATTCAATTCAATTACTGTTATTTTCTCTTCTCATTATATATGAAAAATCATTTCACTTTGAGTTAGATACACCATATATATATAGGGGTGGGCAAAAAAATTAACCAAATATCAACCCGAAAAACCAAACTGGACCAGACCGAATCCGGAAGCCTGGCCAATTCCATAACGGTTCGATCCGGTCACGATTTTAAAATAATGGAACCGTGAAGTTTTTGTTTGGTCCCGGATTAGGGTCCTACAGGACCGGACCAGACTGAACCGGCCCAAACCGAACCATTATAATATATATACAAATATATGTTATATTGTGTATATATATATAGAGAGAGAGTTATACCTATATATTACTCTTAACTTTGGAAGGAATTTCGGCACAATGATTAGACGGAAGCTAACATTCATCATTATTTGATTTATTTATTTATTTATTTGCTTTTGCTTTTTCTAATGTTTTGATTTTTGGGTGCGTGCCAACATTTCTCCACTATCTCATTGTTTTTCTTTACTCACCTGCCTCATTCACTTCTTAGTTCTCATCGCTGTGGGATCCAGTAGTTAATCAATCTTTCTCAAGCAACCTTCGAATTTCGGTTATCGCCGTCCATCTTTTATCGTTGCCATCGGTGACATGCATCGTCTTTCTCACTCTCTCCCCTTCTCTCTCACTTCTAGTTCACAAATCTCTAAGTCTCACGGCGTGTTTGCACCTCAAGCACAACCAATTAACAACCACAACGAATCAAGTTTTTTAGTTTTCAACCACAAATTTGTCATCCTTTTCAGTTTCAGTAAGATTCAATCTTATTTTAATTTCTAGAGATTAGCTTTTGGGTCTATTTCACCCACTTTCCCGTCTCTTTTTCTCTCTCTATTTTAATCTTGGATTTGGGAATGTGAATGCTTTTATTGATATTTTGTTATATATACAATTCAAGAGAAAATAAAAAAGGGAAATAAAATTCAACTAAAACCGTGGAACTGAACCGAACCATGCAAATATTTTTTTCACGGTTTGGACTGGTTTGGTTCCATAGCTCAAATGGTTTGGTTTGGTTTCAGATTTTCTCCAACCGCAGGGAGCGATTTGGTTTCAAAAATCTTCAAAACCAGACCTAACTAGACCGTGTGCCCTGGAATATATCATACTCTTCAGCATTAAACCTAAAACCACCATGCAATTTCTTCTTGCACTACCGTAAAACATTATGTAATATCTGATATGATCACATGTATAAATGACGAGTGCGGTTAGAATTGGATTGTTAAAATTATTTATCCTACCGACAAACACAACCGTATATACTGAGTATATATATATATATATATCTATATATGAATTGTAGCATGTAGGTAGGTATTAACTGATTGCTGAAAGGTTGGGCACTTTCAAACCATAGCCGCCCGTATATTTCTGCAACTCTTTCTCCGTATCTCCCTTATTTCTCTCTCTCTCTCTCTCTCTCTACATTTTTTTCTCTCTAGCTTCTTCATTGTTATTAGTTAATAAATGAATAATAAAAGAAAGAGGGGTCTTAATTTCCAACTTTCAGAAGGTACCATACCATTTTGGTCGATCGAAGACGGTCGATCTTCTTTCAAAACAAAATGGTGTTCAATGCATGCTTATCTTTGACCCTTTTCTTCCTTCTGACTGGCTTGGCCTCATCAACCTTCATTTCATGTAATTTAAATTCATCTATATATATATATATATGTGCATTGCGTATGAATCAACGACTTGTTACTTTGTTTCATTTGATGAATTTTATGTATACGTGCAGATGCAATCTTGGGGTCTCATGGATCCACGAGCCGTACCCTTCTTCAGGCCAAAGCAGGTTCAAATATCTCTCTCTTCAGTTTTCTCTTCTTTTTTTCTTTTTTTATTTATTTTTTTTCAGTTTGGTTCCCTAGAAAACATAGGAAAATAACCAAACAGAAATGCTGCAGTCCATTTGATCATTAAACGGGAGCTGCAACAAATCTTATTTTTGCCTTGAGATGAACCCTTTTCCTCAAAAGTAAATAATGCTTCAATTAACAGAAAGCAAAACAATGTCTGGGACTTCGATTTCTATTTGACTTATTATTATTGTCTTTGGATGATCTATCCATCTAATATTCACAACTTCAAAAGTTCAAAACTCAAAAAATCAAAATTATTTTTAGGAATTCTAAAGCACATATTTGATTTCTAGGCCTTTCATAATTCATTACTGCTCCGTTTGCTTGAGGTAAAATATTTTAATAGAAAAATATTTTTCTTTTTTGAGGTTAAGGTTAAGTCAATCAAGCGAGGGGTGTAAAATAACTTGTCCGAAAATTAATGTGTTAGTTATTATTGTTAAATTTTATTTTTTTTTTTCGTTATAAATATTTTACGATAACTAAACACAAATTAATAAAAATATACTTTTTGAAAAATATTTGGAGACTACATGTTGGGGCAATTGAGTTTTTAATATTTTACGGCTAGTATGTTGAAGCATAACTTTTTAATTTTTTATCATTACATGTCAAAAAGAAAGAAATGGAAATGAAAATATCATGAATACCAAAATTTCACTCTATTTGTATCAATTGCAATATCATTGCTCAAGAACAAATACCAAGATAATAGAAATTTAAAATATATATTTATTTTTTTGTGGGTGTGTTTGTGTGTGTGTGTGTGTGTGTGTGTGTGTGTGTGTATATATATATATATATATTAGGTTATTCTAAACAGTGGCTGAAAAATTCATTGCAGCTATTAGAGGGTTGAGTCCTGCAATGATCATTTGTATGTATGTCTTGAAATTTTTGCAGCTTGCTCTGTAGACTTTGAGATTCAGAACTACACAATCATCACAAGCCAGTGCAAAGGACCCCCATACTCACCCAAACCTTGCTGCGAGGGCTTCAAACAATTCGCTTGCCCTTTTACTGACCAGATCAATGACGGAAAGAGCAATTGTGCTTCCACCATGTTCAGCTATATACATGTTTATGGGAGGTACCCGCCAGGCCTGTTTGCCAGTCTCTGCAAGGAAGGTATGGAAGGTCTTAGTTGTAAAGACACCGGGAACGCATCCACCAAAAATTCTGACAAGAAGAGTGGTCATCATGCTCTGTTAGATTGTACTCAGTTCCCCGAGATTTGCGACATTTATAGAAACATGATACCAGAGGAGTAATTATGTTTTCTATTCTCTATATATATTTGGTTTTACACTCAAATTTACAAATGTGTATTTGGTTACCATCGAAAGTATAATAAATATGGTTAAGCTCCAAGTGTGCTTTATATTTTTGGGCTTTTGTGGCTGTTGGTTGCATCAAAAATATTCTTTCAATTTTCAAGGATGATTGAGGGGCAATTATATGTAATTTAGTATGAATGTTAAGTCACATATATAGTTGAATTCATTGAATAGCTATTTGATAGAACAGTTATGCATTGATAGAAGAGGAGGTGCAGAAGTTTTCACCAGTGAAGCTAAAAGAGAAAATTGGTGAAGCACGTAGACTTTTTGTTTCTCTGAAGTCTCTGTGCATTAGATTTGGAAATGTGAAAAAAAGTTAGCTTAAATATCTAAACTAATAGATTTCAGGTTCAATCCCAAAATAGAAATTTCATATGGTCAAAGGTTATGTAGCTTTTGAATTATTAACAAGAAACAACGGTAACTTTCATACGCATTTAAAAAAAAACAAAAACAAAAAAAAGTAACTTTAAATCCACAAAGTTGAACAACAATTACAAAGCAATCTTAATTATTATTAATAAAAAGTTAAATTATGCTCTTTCATACATGCATATTTATAATTAAAAAAAAAAAAAAAAATTAAAACTATAAGGAAACCTATCAGTGAAAAGAACATAATGCTAGAAATAAGTTTGAAAATAAATTCTCTCTAAAACTTCTGTAAAATAAAAAATAAAAATAAAAAAGAAATATAAACATTAAAAATTACTATATTTAAAATTCAGAGCATTCGGACTCTGTTTAGGCTACGAACAAAATCTTGAAATACTCAAGATGCCTCCAATAAACAAAAAAACCCGATTTCAAAGTCTAAACAGATGTTTTTAGCCAAAAAATGACATGGCCCAAAGATATCTAGTGGGTTTTTCTCCATGGGTCATTTCCACCTAAAAAAAAAAACACTTTTTTGGTAAAAAATAAACTAGTTCAACTAACTGAAATTCTATCCTACATCAGTCCCCTCCAATTCAAAAAAATAAAAAACTCATCCTCGAATTTGACTGTGAATAACGTCCAGTGTTGTTTGCCACAACAACATTATGTTCATTGTCGTGAGACCCTCCAAAACACGACACGAAAATATCTTCATTGACACTTTCTGGAATAAAAGCTTCTTCACATACAATCTGCTTACATTATAATTCTTCGCCAATTTGATGCCCGAACTCTTTCATTCCATCTTTGACATGCAATTTGGATATTTTGTTAGCCCATCATCAATTAATTCATGTTGTTCATATTTAGCATTGAAATTCTTGTCACCATATTCTTCTTTTGCCGATTGAATTCCCTTTCTATTTCTGCCAACTTGTGCAACGTAATTGATATTTTCACATCCTTAATTACTACAATAGGTGTGACAATAGAAATTTACCCATGATTTAACCTCATAAAAACACACTTGTTGCGTCAACAAAAAATTTATTATCGTTCTTGCCACTATCGTTTTTGTAAAATTCCTCTGTGGCCTCGTTGACAAACCAACTCTCTTTGTTGTAATCTTGATATTGGTGACAGGACATTTATGCATAATCTGGTTGTAGGAATCTAGCCATAATAAACCTTTTGACCATGATCGAACATGTTTTTCTTACCTCCTCCGATTAATCTTAAGTTGATCCCATCAAGCAGAAGCACCTTTCTTAAGCATGATTGCTACAAGCAGAACTTGCTTGTGTTCAGATATGTCAAAATACTCCAGAAAGTATTCAACTTCATTAAGCCAATTTAAGACATCCTCACACAAAAACTAAAAGTAAATCTGAATTCTTCATCCTCAAACAAATACACATAAGCTGAAGGCCTATGTGGATGTATACGAACATAACCCATGTTTGGTTGAATGCAAGACACATCATGATTGCGAACACATACGGTTCATGGACCTATTGCCACTAACCCCAAGTCTAGCGGTAGCCTACTATACATCCTGTAACATGTGTTCCATCCGTCACGTAGCGGAAGCTATAAAATCGTTCACAAGAAAAAACGGGTAAATTTAAATCCACAAAGTTAAACAAAATTTGCAAAACAATTTGAAATATTATTAATAATAGGTTATATTATGCTATTGCATACATGCATATTGATTTTTGGACTAAAAATATAAGGAAACTAATGCTTAAATTAAGCCTATAAATAAATTCTCTCAAAAAATTCTGAAATGAATAAGAAACCTAAACAAGAGCATTCCGACTTCATTTAGGCCACGAACAAAGATCTCGAAATAATGAATAAGCTTCCTAATAGACGAAAAAGCCCAATTTGGAAGTCCTAAACTAAGTTTTTAGCCGAAAAATGATATGGCTCACTAGCAAAGGCTAGTGGGTTTTGTTTAATGGGTCGTTTCCACTCAAGAGAACACTCATCTTTTTTTTTTCTTTTTTTTTTTTTTTTTTATAAAATCAAAAATAGAGTCGTTTAGCTGATTGAAGTTTTGTCCTTCATCATTATTTTTTATTCTAAGTGAGTCTAATTCCATGCATGGCTCACCCAACTCACGAAATTGCATAGCTCCTTAGTATTCCTCTCTTTTAACAATATCAAACATGCTTTTGTTGGGATTTTTATGCCCTGACATAGCAAATTCCTATTTGGATTATATTGACATAAGTTCCTAACATATCTGAAATATTTATAATTTATATAATTGGTGAATTTAATGTATTATGTTTCAATTTATTATGGAATTGATAATGTCTACTTGATTACAAGAGATATTTATATATATATGTGATGGCGATCAATACATAAATATAAATAGTAATCATAAATTATTTATAGTCGGTAATTATGGATGGACTTATTATTAACTAAAACTTGAACTGGATTCGTGTTAGGTTGAGATATATTGCGAGAGTCGTCGTATGTAATTGCTCTCTATCACTATCATTGCATTTAACTCTTAAGCATGAGAGAAATATAGACTCTTTTATTAATCAGTAATTACTTTGATTTATTTGGCGGAATCTTCGGAATCCATAGATCGGCACTTTGGGTAATTATGTAATTAATAGTTAGAGGATTATATTTTCAATATTTGCATCATTACTACTTGTATTTATTTTGTATTGATTATGTTTGATCACAAAATAAATTCGAAGACCTTCGTGTGTTTTTAGACAAAATGATTTTCTATATATTTATTTATTTAAAAAATTATTTTTTGTCAAACAAATGTTTTATTATGATCAAGCCAGAAATAATCAAAGGTACCAAAATAAATATATTAATTAAGTAGTTGAATTAAAGGCTTTATTTATTCGATAACTAATTATGCATAGAGAGGTCAAAGTGTAACATTGACTTAGAGGTTATTTATTATTTAATTGGAGTTCAATTAATTTCTTTTAGTGGAGTAGAAATTAATTAATGAATTAATTTAATTGGGTCCATAGATCGGGCCAATTATTAATTCATTGTAGCCAAGAAAATAATAAGTTCAAAGGATTCTCACTCATAGTCCAACTTGATATTGGAGACATATTAAATTTGAGATATCACGTTAGTTTTAGAGATTGAGAAAAATATAATGTTTTTAATTATTATTTTTATGTTGCCTATATATACATGGAGTCCATGTATATTTTATTTTCTCTCTCTAAAATTTTAGGGTTAGTGTTCTCATCTAATGGAGGCTCCCACAAGCTTAACTTTTCAACGTCATTCATAGAGACATATGGGTGATTCCTAAAGGCATGACCATTACCAAGAAAATAGAGATACAAGGAAAAGGCATTTAGTAAAGAGATCTACAATAAGTGAGAACATTCATTTTAGAGGAGATATTTAAGATTTACTCAAATCTTGATGTAAGTTTTCTATCCCTAAATTGAATGTATTATCAAGTTCTTCGTGCATAAAACTTGTCTTTACACATGAATCAAAATCTTTATTTGAAAAACTTTCATAAAGTCTTAAGAACTTCTGTTTCCCTAATAGTTCTAGCGTATATGTGTAACACGATATTCTAATATAATTGAGTTCGATTTATGGAAATAAGAGTGAGATCGATTCGATCAATTCTTCAAGTGTGTAAGACCTGGAATAAGAATGCACTAACAGGTATGTATTTACAACTTTTAGTTCACTTGAGAGTTAGGTTGTATATATAGTTATGAAAATGAGTGAACGTCCTAACAAGAGTCATGCATGTTAAGAACTAATTTCGAAAAACTTTTCAATCACAAATCCACCGTGTCCATAAGTATGCAAAACCTTCGAGCTCTATTGTTTCCGATTTCATGACCCAGCATAAACTACATATATGCCTCTTCTATATATCATTCATTTTTCATTTATGTTGCATGACAATTGACAAATCACACACCTAAGTGCTGCAATCATTTATATATGGTACTGCAACAATGATATATAGCAATTACTTATATTTCATAAAATTAAAATAATTATAGGAAAAAAGCGGTTTGCTTGTTTTTAATAGTTTTAAAGCTTTTGGTACAACTTTTTACCTAAGATATTAGGGGAAATTAAAAATATTAGTTACTCGTGTTCGGATAGAGAGCGGTGAACGCCTTCGACCATTCCTTCATTTCATACGATGGTGGTGAATACACCAAAAACTATGAATGAGTTGAATGAAAGGTACGAATGTTTTGTCCACCCGAATGTAACGACTAGAGTAGGAAGAAGTGGCCAACTGAAGGATAACAGAAAAACTATTTTTAGAAAGATATTTCTATCATTCAAACAATTCAACCCTTTTTCTTGAAGTTAAAGAATAAGGTTCACCTTTTCTTATTAATTTTTTCATAAAATATCATACACTTGTATCACTGGTCTATCCACTAGTGTGTAACCCACAAATACGTTTGTGATGTATTAGTAATGTTGATTAATTATTTTAAAATTATATACTTATAAAATTTCATTATTGATCCACTAAATAATAAAAGATATTTATTGGTCCAATCACATAATTTTCTGGAATGAACAAGCAATTTATACCAAATTAATTCTGAAATACATTGTACTATCAATTTATATCAAATTAATTGTCA